GAGTCAAGACATTTTAGGCCACATATGTTGGTTGTAGTACAGAAATTAGATGGCCTGCAACTCCTGTTTCGAAATTCTTTCAAAATAAAAATCGTAATAAGGGGATACTAGACTATCAGGATCTTTACCTTGACTCAAAATTTAATTCCACGATATTCTTTTTATCGCAAATGATATGGCTTCACTATAACGAACACTTTAGGTTCCGAGAGGTAATTGTTGACCTTAAAATTGATAATTTATGTAAAATAATATGAAATTAGAATTTAACGGAGATTTCATGGTTGAATGAACTCAGTCACAAGAACTAAAACGAAAGTTGAAATTCAACGACTAACCAGTAGATCGTAGACTGCCATAATGGAAATTATGAAATGTTCGATTACTCTGCCATTATTACACAAAAGAAGATGTTTCATTACGTGATATATATCCATGGTTGAACCATGATATTTACCTAGCCGACACATTTCAAGTTTCAACTAGTACAAATTGAATCCGGTGTAATCACGTGATAATGGCTTGCAAAGTTGCATGCCTTATGTCATTCTTTAGCAATAAAATCTCTTCGTGTATGGAAATGAGGGATTCATTTGAAAACTTAAATGATAACTCCTTAACTAGAACTTACCTTGAGCAGCACAAAGACTTTGAGAGACACCAAGTATCTAATAGAAATTTCACAACGTTTCAGTGTTCCAGTCAAGCGTTACAGAAGACACAAGCGCACAACCCTTCTCAACGGCAGCTCTTCGCCAACTGACTGTTACCGGTAGTTACAGGTCGTTCCATCTGAAGGCTCTGATCACTCCCTAATTCCTTTCTACGGAAAGGAAAATGAATGGAAAGTTCCTGGTTAAAATATCCTTAGGCTTTTCTGTTGTAGTCCTCTGCATCAAATAAGGTAGTTTGAGAGAGTCCAGGTAGAGTGTGGTATATTATATATCAAAATTTTTATCGCTTTATGAATATCATGAATGTGTGTTGCTCTTAGTTAAAGAGTCGAAACAGTGTCTTCAGTTCGTATTTAATTTTGAATGTGTAAATTTTTTTTTCGCAAAAATTTATTTGGAAGAATTGACAAATTTTGGTCCGAATTTGTTGTGAGAGACGAAAAAGTCAAACGTGCGCAAGTCAATGATTCACACTAATTGCTGATCAATATGATGTCAGCTTCACACCTTTTATCTGCTTGAATATTAAAAGCCAATTTATATGTTCACAAAAAGTTTTTACACCTACGGCGAAGGTGCTGGGTTCCTCAAAGAGCGCACGTGGGAAGGGAGGCGGGTGGGAGCGCAGCCGTCTCTTCAGCGTGAAATAAATGAACGGGAGTGTGAATTTAGGATTTTCGAGAAGTCAATCTAGAAGAAATCCTAAAATTGATATAAAACTAAGCAAATTGATTTGTAAGCAGGAAGTCATATGTTAAAATTAATTTTAAACGATGCTCTGAGATCAATCGCACACAAATACGAGGTTCAATGTGCTGGAAGTTACGCAGTTAGTTCCTTTGAATTATACTGGAAATTAAGCGTCGCTTTTTCGAGACATGGCAGGCAAATTGCGAACTGCAAGGATCTTGATATTTTAAATTATTTCACATCAGTGTAGATTTGCCATAGACTTTTTCTGCTCTGCTTAGTTTGACTGCAATTTATTTCAACGTCAAATCACACACGATTGTTATATAAAGCCCATCATAACATCACATAAAATAGTGATGTCAGCGCTGAAGTGTAGGCCTGATGTGGCCTGTCGCCGATTCTTTTCCTTTTCGTGCCTTGTTCACAGAAGACCTAAAATCGTGTCATTTGACCGGATCTTTTCACGACTGACGATAGTTTAAAAAAGCTACTAGACTTCCGCCGGGTTCGATGTGGTGCTAGGCATTTCAAGTCAGAACATATATTTTTCCATAGCTTTATCTAGTCTGTTCTTGAACGCGTTCATACATGGAGCGCCAACGATGCCATCGGGGAGGCTGTTCCACATGTCGGTGATTCGAAGCGAGAAGAAATGTCGCGTGCAGAAGTTGCAGGGCAGTTTTTTAGTTTATAGCCGTGGCCCTTGGTATTGGTTCTTGTTTCAAATTCTAGTAATCCTTCGGGGACCTTGTTAATCTTTGTTCATAGGACTTGCCCATCAAGCCTGGAATTATCCTTGTTGCTCGTCTTTGAACATTTTCTATTAAATTGTTGTCCTTTTCAAATCTCAGTGACCACACAACGTTTCCAAACTCTAGATTCGGGCGCACGACAGCAACAAACAACTGCTTCATCGCTTTTGCATCTAGGAACTCGCATGAGCGTCTGATTAGTCCAAGAAGTTTGTTGGATGTGTTAGCTTGCGTTTCAACATGCTTAGAAAATATCAGCTCCTTGTCGACATAAACTTTGCAATTTATTTCAACGTCAAATCACACACGATTGTTATATAGCGCCCATCCATCATAACATCAGATAACATAGTGATATCAGCGCTGAAGTGTAGGCCTGATGTGGCCTGTCGCCGATTCTTTTCCTTTTCGTGCCTTGTTCACAGAAGATCTAAAATCGTGTCATTTGACCGGATCTTTTCATAACTGACGATAGTTTGAAAAAGCTAACTAGACTTCCACCGGGTTCGATATGGTGCTAGGCATTTCACATATATTTTCCATGGCTGTATCTAGTCTGTCCTTGAACGCGTTCATTTCATACTTGGAGCGCCAACGATGTCATCGGGGAGGCTGTTCCACATGTCGGTGATTCGAAGCGAGAAGAAATGTTGTCGCGTGGAGAAGTTACAGCGCAGTTTTTAGCGCATTTTCTCATTTATGGAAAAAATGCACTATTGTGCTCGCCATGTCCGTCTGTCCGTCCGTCCGTGACCTCGAGTTTTCGTCGACGAGAAAATGCGCGCTCTGTCACTCACTGCAGTGAGTGCTGAGTTATATTTTTTAACTTTTTAGCCGTGGCCTCTGGTGTTGGTTCTTGTTTCAAATTCTAGTAATCCTTCGGGGACCTTGTACAAACCATGAGTATACTCATAATATTTAATCTTTATTCATAGGACTTGCCCTTCAAGCCTGGAATTATCCTTGTTGCACGTCTTTGAACATTTTCTATTAAATTTCAGTCCTTTGCAAATCTCGATGACCACACAACGTTTCCAAACTCTAGATTCGAGCGCACGACAGCAACAAATAACTGCTTCATCGCTTCTGCATCTGGGAACTCGTATGAGCGTCTGATTAGTCCAAGAAGTTTGTTGGATGTGTTAGCTTGCGTTACAACATGCTTAGAAAATTTCAGCTCCTTGGCGACATAACTCCAAGATCTTTTTCCAAACTAGACTTTTCAATAATTACTGTCTCGTTGCAACCGTGTCTTCTCATACTGTAATCTTGCTGGTCATTGTTCTTCCCGAGGTGAAGTACTTTACACTTGTCAGCATTAAACCGCAGCTGCCACGTATCAGCCCAGTTAACTAAACTGTCAAGATCATCTTGCAATTGCGCTTTATTTGACGCATCCTTCACTGTATTATAAACTTTTGTGTCGTCGGCATACATGGAGCACACGCTGGACACTGCTTCTGGCAGATCGTTTATAAAAGCAACGAACAAAACAGTCCCAAGAACGCTTCATTGTGGCACGCCTCTCCGCACTGATGCCCAGTCTGACACGGTTCCGTTAATACTGATATTACTAACACGTTGTCGTCTACCTACTAGAAAATCTCTGATCCATTGGAGTACGTTTCCTTCAATTCTCTCTGGAGAACAATCATGAGATATAAAAGCTAAATAATACAAGATTGCTTGAATTGCAATTTTACTTAGAATAGAAGTGTCGGAACTGAAGAAATAGGCCCATGGCCTGTTGCAGATTCTTGTACTTTTCGTGATTTGATTCACAAGGGATCCGGCCTTATGAACCCGATCTTCCCATAACGGACGAATTGATTGAATTATTGGAAGGCTTGTAAGGTGCTAGGCATTTATAGACTGAACATATGCATCTGCATAGCTTCGTCTCGTCTGTTCTTGAAGGCGTTCATACTCATCGCGTCAACGATGCTATCAGGGAGGCTGTTCCACATGTCGGTGACTAGAAGCGAAAAGAAATGTTGTCGCATTGATGTGTTACAACGCAGTTTTATTTATAGCCGTGGCCCCTGGTGTTGTTTCTTGTTTCAAATTCTAAAAATCCTTCGGGACCTTGTATAAACCGTGGGTATACTTGTATGCTTCAATGATGTCCCCACGCAAGCTTCATAAGCTTTAACCTTTCTTTATAAGGCTTGCATTTTAACCACGGAATTAGCTTTGTTGCAAATCTTTGAACAATTTCGACTATATTTTTGTCATTTTCTAGTTTTGGTGACCACACGGCGTTTCCAAATTCTAGGTTCAGACGCACAACAGAGACAAACAACAGCTTCATCGCTTCAGCATCTATGTACTCGTAAGTGCTTCTGTCAGTCAAAGTCGTTGATTGGCTTTATTAACTTGAGCTTCAATATGCTTAGAAAATTTCAACTCATTGTTGACATTAACTCCTGAATTTTTTTCCATTGTCGACTTCGACATCATCACTCTGTCGGTGCTACCGCGACACCGCATCTGAAGAAAATTATTCAATTTAATGAGTACACACATCTGGATATTGGTCATTCCGTATATACATGACGGAGATAAGTAAAGAAATCTATTGCTGGTATCGATGAGTGACGCATCAGTATATTAACAATTCAGCATCTATGGCGGGCACATCAATGGATGGAACAGCGAACAATAGATATCATTGACTCCTGTCAGTTATTTTATTGCCTGTATCAATTCATTTAATGTTAATTTTCTGTATGCACAAAGAATGTAATTGTACAGCTACGTATGCGTAGCAGTCTCGGTAACAATAGAATCCGGTCTAGCTGCAGTAGCAGTCACGTCATACGATGTTAGGTCTCAGGGCCTGAGTGAAGTGTCTCTTATAGTTAGGTCCTGCTCCGCTTTACTAACTCGCAGCGATCTTGTGCCTTAACGGTAGATCTTGTGGCTGTAAATTTCAAAGCTTTATATAGACACTAATAGTTTATTAATTTTTCTGTCGCATTGATTTTATTTTTAATTTGTTTCTTCTAACTGATGATCTTATGAAATGAAAACAACGTTGCATTTATTTGAACTGAAGTTTTAATGAACAACCTAGTGCAGTGTAAGCTTCTGCTGTCAAAAGTTGAATGAAAACACTTTATCTAGAAGCATATTTTTTTTAAATAAGTAAATGTGTGAGAAATTATCTCGATGATAAACGAGGAGTGCAGGAAAAAAAAGGTAAGCAGTATTTCTTTTTTAACAAAGCTGGGTTTAAACTCGAGAAAAACAAGCAATTTGAAAGCATAGGTAAATAACAAGGGAACTCGAGAAACAGAAACCGTACTTCAATAGTGAGCTAGAAATAAAATTCCTATCCTTATCCGAAGAAGTAAACATTAATGATTTCATACGTGACTATTTTCGAATTTAGAGCATCGGAGAAATTAAATAAAGAAAGCCGCATTGAACGGCTCTACTTGCGACTTCGTTTGACTAATAAGTAATTATATTAGTAATTAATTAGTAATTTGAGCAATTAGTATTAATCAATTACTAATTAGTAATTAAGACGATTATTAATTAGTATTAGACTAGCTGTATCAAGCATCAACGCTGTGCGTAGGATGCTTGTATGTACAGCTAGGGGCGAAGGAGGTCCGGGGTCGATTCCATGTATGGCAGGATAATTTTTATATGGGTGCCGGCGTGGCTGTAAACAAGAGCACAACTCATCAGAAGCTAAGTACCAAGCATAAATAATTGCCAGCAAACCCACCTGATGTAAGGGACCGTCTTGAACAGCGACGTTTGTGATATCGTTGAGCTGAAGATTGAACTCCAAGTCGTCAACGGCCGCGGCCGAGCTCTCGAGACACACCACCCGCCTCACGTGCCTTGCTAGCGCCAAGCTCTGAACTCCTGTAATGTGATTTTTATGCTTAAAATTCAACAATGAAATCCTAAAATCATACCATCATGATTACTCACAGCTTTAGTGCCTTCAGTATCAATAATAGAGGTCTAAAAATCGGAATTATTTCAACGGAATAAAAAAGATTGTTGAAGGTTAAATAAATAATTTGAAGATGGTAACAATTTTGTGGTGAGCCATCGAGACCACCAGCCGTTATAGAGCAATCAGAACATTAGGTACATAGTGAAAATAAACTGCGATAATAATGAAAGAAGTTAACCAAGCGATGTGAAATTAAAGGGACAAATCTCAAGTTAAAATAAAGCTGAAACATAGAGCATAGAAATTTTTAAATGCAATAAACCTAACCAGAGCCGGAGCCAAGGTGCAGCAGGTTTGTGCTTTCGTCGATTCCGGCAGTTTTTTGAACAGCGCTTATGACGAGCTCCTCTGCCTCTCTGTTAAACTACGTGAGAAGAAATTAATTCATAAGCTGGAACGATTCATGAACCTGAATTGCATTAAATTTTTCATTCACGAATACCTATGAAAGTATTAAAATTTCGACCAAAATTGCCTTATCCGAATTCAATAAAAGTAAGCAAGTTGAGGTTCTTCCTACAATACGAAGAGTGTTAATTTTTAATTCGGACCAGTATACTGTAAGAATAAAAAAATTCATCGCTACTCTGCGCTGCATTTGTTGCGGCCCGGAACATAGCATTAATTTAAATATTCATTAACAACGAAAATGTAAGACAATTCTTGAACAAGAGTCGTCGCAAATAGCACGAGCGAGGCGCTCTACACAAAATTCCAAATCAACGTCTTTCATTGCCAAGCTCGCAAGAAAAATTATGGCATTGAACAACATTAATATGTAATACGGTACTTGCATAAGGCGGGCTATAGATATGCGTCTGTTGACTACCTGAATACTGGATAACTCTGAAACTGAAATCTAGAAACGATTTTAAACCTACCATCCGTTGAAAAGATTTTATCAAAAGGCCAGTCTATTCAAGAAAAATACTAGAATCGGCGACAGGCCTATCCAGGCCTATTCTTCAATGCCAAAGATACTATACTATACCCTATACTATACACCATACTATACACCATACTATACTATACACTATACTAAACTATACTATACTATACACTATACTACTATAACTCAGGAATACGTACCGGAAAGCTAGTGTCCGGCAAGATACGGAATTTATTGTGGGCACACGACTCCTCTATATGAGGTGCACCGAACACCAGACGGTAGGGGTCCTTGTGGCGACACTTGTGAGTTGTGTTGCTGCACAAACACAAGCTTTAGTTGCTAATTTTGTTGAGTTTAGGTCATCAAGTATAATATTGAAGATCATCATATTGAATATTGAAGATATTCAGTTTAGATCATCAAGTAGGTACCTATAATATTGAAGTGAACTAAACATTTTAAATTAAGGCACAACACAAATTTCCATTTAAGGTTTATTAAGATATCACTTCGTCTTTCCCCATGACGATGATTCAGATAAGAGAGCGATGACAAATGTAAAACTTCATTAACTTCAGTTGACACTTCAATGATGAAAGCCTGAATGACGGCGAAATTAAATGCAAGTTTTAACTTACAAACTAGCAAACCACACCACATTAGAGACATATTATTATTCACATTATTATACATCACATTATTATTATTAGAGACACATACTCATCCTAATATAACCTGCAAATCGTTGAAAACTTTGAGCTCTTCGACGAGCATTGAACCAAAATAAAGAGTAGCCAAAATACTTAGAATATATCCAGAGGACCAGAAAAAATACTATAAGATACAATTAGATAATTAGCTTCTTCTCACCTCACATGAAGGTAAAGGGACGTCAGACCCGTAGCAGAACCAGAACCTCTGCAGAAGTATTCTCGAAGATCATCTTCTATTTTGAGCAAATCTTCCTGTGAACGATTGATTAGTAAATTGAGTACGGTAAACATAAAACATGAAAACATGAACACATGAAGAGAAATTTAGGAGTTTGAAAATGAAACTAAACAAAAGAACGTGAGAGATAANGTTAAATATTCTATCCTTGAGTTTCTTCAGTACGAGACTAGCGCTGGTCTCCTTGTGCTGTAGTTGTTCAGCGTAGGGCTTGCGCCACAGCGGCGTGTACACGTCTGCTACCACCTCTTGCTGGTTACCTTCTGTTGTCTGAAATGTTATTGTGGTATTGATTTACACGTTAAAAAACTTCAAAAAATGCTTACTGTAGCTCGAAATGTCATTCTGGTATTAATATTCACGTTAAAAACACTTCAATAAATGCTTGCTGTAGTTTAAAATGTGATTGTAGTATTGATATTCACGTTAAAAACTTCAATAAAAGCTTACTGTAGTTCAAAATGCGATTGTAGTATTGATATTCACGTTAAAAACTTCAATAAAAGCTTACTGTAGTCTGAAATGTCATTCTGGTATTAATATTCATGTTAAAAAACTTTCATAAATGCTCATTGTAGTTCGAAATGTCTTGTGGTATTAATATTCAAGATAAAAACTTTGATAAATGTTTGCAGTAATTAAGTTACCAATATCACACTATAGTAATATTGCATTATTCGATTAAAAGAGCATTTGGCCACGCAATTCTTTCCGACAACACGCCTACACTCCCTTGAATTAAAATATGGCCTTTACGAATACTATTCTTGGTCACGGAAGGCGTCAAGATGTTGTACAACGAAGAGTTAACCCGCTACTTATTTACCCACTGCCTCCTGAGCGACGTCGAGTTAGCCTGCTAGTGCGTGACGTTAGTCGGACAAATACTATGTAAACGATGGCACAACGCTATTCATATCCTAAGTTCTTACAATCTTAAGTCATTTGAATAGATATTATATAATTTGTATTTTGAATCGTTATAATCGTTATACAGATATTATACAATTTGTATTTCAAATCGTTTCATAAAGCATACGCATCATCAGGGCGCATGTTTGCAACCAACTCGTGCAGTCGTGCTAGTGGTTTCCTTAAATTTGAGGCCTTATTTATAAATATGATAATAAATATGAATAAATACTAGTCAATATAATATGTATAAAATTCTAATCTTATGTAAGAATTCCAAATGGAAGACCGTTATATTGAGTTTAAATCATTACTTGCTTAATTTGGCCATATACACTCTACAGTTCCACACATTTCTTTTAATTCTGTGGGGGCAGTCTTCCTTTTTAGCGCATTTTCTCGTTTATGGAAAAAATGCGCTATTGTGCTCGTCATGTCCGTCCGTCCGTCCGTGATTTCAAGGATGGACGGACGAGAAAATGCGCTCTCTGTCACTCACTGCAGGAGTACTGATCTAATTTTTTATTCATATCTTCGTATCCAAATTTGAAGATTGATGCAACTCCAGCCTCTAGTACAGTTCAGAGCCCACCAGTCAGATTCCTTACGACAGCTAACGACGTCACATCTTCACTTTTGATCGTCCGCTTCATCGTCATTATGAAGTGAGACTTCCAGCGTGCGTCTCGTCTAAGGTGGCAGCCTTGAGGTGTGGTACGATTTTGGGACTGCGGCAACAGCTCGTCTTCTCACGGAGGACGGGTCTCTGCGAGAGCTCAGGAGAGGACCGGATGCTGCAGGTTGCTTGTCCGTCACTCAAGCTCAGGATGTTGTGGCAACTTGTAGCTCCGGCCGGTTTCCATTACGGATAACTGTCTTCACTTCATTACTCTTAAGCCAAATAAAACTATCCTTGTCTTTCAACTGAATGTATATTACATAACATAACATAGTGATCTCGGCGCTGAAGTGTAGGCCTGATGTGGCCTGTAGCCGATTCTTTTCCTTTTCGTGCCTTGTTCACAGAAGATCTAAACTCGTGTCATTTGACCGGATCTTTTCATGACTGACGATAGTTTGAAGTAGCTACTAGACTTCCACCGGGTTACTATCTGAAGTATGCTATTGGCGGCATTAATTTAAGGCGGCATTAACATAGCCATTGTTCTAGAGTACAGATATCCAAGTGCATAAATGCGAAAGGTATAATTAAGTGATTTTTATGTGAATATCAACCCAGTTCAGTTCGCAGCAATAAAGTGAGATGGTTTGGACAGATCCAGCCAAAGTAATCGAAACTAGCCAGTGGCGAGAGAGGTCGTAACACTGAATTTAACATTAACATTATTATTGTTATTTAGTAGATATTAAGGTCTTACTTATCCCTCACGACCTTCGTCACGTAACCCGGTCCTCAGGTAGGGCTTAATAAGTGAGCTCTAACAACACTAATAACGGCGTAATTTAATATGTCATGGTAACTAAGTTACTGTAATTGTACTTAATTTACATGTCATGGTAACTAAGTACCTCGTTCACTTGGTGTAATGATACTCCAAAACTGTGAAAGCAATGTTATTATTACTACTCAAACAAACTTTAACGATATCATGTGCCGAGATTGCCACGATAAGCAAAGAAGTCGTATTAAAATTTTTTAGTTACAACAGCCGTACAGCTGAACAGAGTGAGGGAATACAGTTGAGGAACCCAGTGAAAAGCTACAGACGCGACAGCTTCTGATTTGGATTACCAGAAGCTGGGGCGACTCTAAATTTTGTTAGGGAAGGAAGCTCGGGACCCAGAGGACGCAAAACCTCTCAGCGCTGCAGTCGTCAATGGAATAAAATGTTTCTGAACGAATAAATTTGCCGATACAAATAAATAAACTACGATGAATTTCGATGCGTTCATGAACACATTGGCAGAATTTCGTGACTTATGAGGAGAATTAAATGAAGGTAAATCGAACATGTAGGCAATATAAGTTGAGATAAGGTCAATTTTGCAACAGGATTAGTCCATTTCGTTCGAGTTCAAACGTATTGGAGTTGTAACTATACTTTTGCAGTAAATATTATCGAGTTATCAGTAGTGATGATATCAAGTTAATTGATGGCAGAATTAAATTTCAGTCAACAGAATAGTTACTGAGAAACTCTAGTTCAGATTACAAGAGTTCTGAAACTTGATGACAAGTTGCTACCTATTGCAGCGTTTCCCTGGGGTAGAATGCATTCGTACGTACATCTACATTATTGTTTCTTTTTAACGATTCAATATGTAAAAACAATAATGATAGCATGGAAGCAGATAGCACCAGCAGGCACAATGTCGCTATCAAAATTCGTTGTACAGAGCGTTATTTATTTAACAACCAAAATCGCGTCAGGAAACACTTGACTTATCACATTTTAAAGGAAACAACAGACATAAATTTTACGCTACCGATAAAAAAGAATAAGCTGTCTAGGCCGGCATTGCCAGGGATCCATTATCCTTATTATTTAGGAGTTGGTTATTTTGAATCCCGGTAAAATTATTAAAACTAAAGTATTCCGGCCGAATAAAACCCAGTGCAAGTTTAAATTTAGCAGGGAACTCTCATGAAAGTCCCGTTTCAAAATTGAATTTTCCCGGTACATTTCATTTTTCACAAAAACTTACTTTAAAGGTTTTACTCTAACTCCCTAAAATTATTCAATGTCTCGTGATTCCACCAATGAAAATAAATTTTTATGCTCAGGTAATATCCAAACACGATAAACATCGTGGATATGCGCTCGAACAGTCCCTATATTTATCCAATATCAGACAACGAACACACAAGCTTTGGCAAATATGAAAGATTATTACTATCTTCCCATGCAAATTTTAATAAACGTTGCAGAAGGGAAATAAAAATCAGTAACCGGTTGACTTGCAATAAATTTGATAGCACATGAAAATGGTGAGAAATAAGCCTGACTTTGCATCAATTAATTCATTGTTAGTGTATAATCCTTTCATTTTAGTTAAGCTATATATAGATCGATGATAGGTACGTACGTTTGATCTAAGTTACAGGAATTCTAGACACCTGAGACGTGAAAAGTTGCACTCAATATTCATGTATCTCTTACCTACATTAGTTTTTGAGAACAACGTCCAACTCTGACGTATTATTTATAAACACAAACTTTAATTGGGCACATATTTAGGAAGTCGTACACTCCATGAAAAAGAAAAATTTTAAAAATTTGATTACTTTTTTCTAAATTACATAAAGGAAACGGTACTTTATCAACTTCGTCCAAAGATTACCGAAAAAAAAACAAAAAAAAAGAAGGGAACCGGTTCCTAAACACACCTGGAGAGCACCAGTTACAGGCCCTCACTCCTCCCAGGTATCATGTGTCATCACGGATTTGTTTGGGTTCCTTTCGGTGAGCCAGCGCAGCAGCGAGAGAAGATGGCGCACGCTGTCTCCTCTCTTAGCGCTGATACCAATCACGGGCAAGTCAACTCTTTGTTTTAATTCTTCAACATTTTGCTGAGCTTCATCCAAATCTATTTTATTAGCGACTACTGCGTAAGGCCTCTGAGATAATCCCGAGTCGTACAAATCTAGCTCCCGTCTGAGCACCTCGAGCTGTTTCCAAGGCTCTGGTTGAGACCCGTCAAGAATGTACAGGAGTCCCGCACATCTCTGAACGTGTCTTAAGAATTCGTAACCTAATCCTTTGTTGACATGTGCACCCTCAACCAGACCCGGGATGTCAGCGACAGCGAGCTGGAACATGTCAGCGTAATGTACGATGCCCACATGAGGGTTTAGAGTTGTGAAAGGATAATTAGCCACCTTTGGTCGGGCTCGAGATATTGCACGTAGAAGAGTCGATTTGCCAGCATTAGGGAAACCGATGAGTCCGATGTCAGCGATCGTGCGGAGTTCGATTTCATAGGTCAATTGTTCCCCTTTTCCTCCGTACTCGGCAACCTTGGGAGCTTGATCTGTATCCGTGCAGAAGAACACGTTGCCTTTACCGCCAGCTCCACCTCTAGCGGCAACAAACAATGCATTTTCAACATCAAGCGACGCAAGAACTTTTCCTTCGTAACTTACGATGGTGCCAAGCGGGACTTCAACCACCATGTGCTCAGCGTTGGCTCCATGACAGTCATGCTTTCTGCCGCATTCTCCATTGGGGCCTGATATCGAACAAGGTAAATGACACAAACTATTCTTCGCCTTGGTGGCCTTCAACACAACGTGGCCTCCGTTGCCACCATCACCACCATCAGGGCCTGCAAACTCCTTCCTGTAGACGCTCAGCATAGACACGGCTCCGTCCCCACCGTTTCCTCCACGCACTTTCAAGATGGTGTGGTCTTTGAAATGCCGCTGCGTGAAGCCCGGTTTGGTTTCTTTCTTACGAACCAATGGGATGTATCGAGTATCAAGTCCTGAAGAAGTGCTCATGAGGGACAGGAACTTCTGCATGTCGTGACGGAGATTCTGTAATGCAGCCGAGGCATCGTGCACTCTGTCGTCAGGGTTGTGGCTCAGACCGCTGGCGCTGTAATTCTTACAGCATACGAGACTCTTTCTTAATTCGTTCACTGTCTTTGACCGACGATAAATTATTCGGCTTGCATTTGCAGTCAGCATGATTCCAAGCCGTTTGCAATGAGATAAAAATGGAGAGAAAACAATTACTTTAAATACAGTGTCAGTTAGTCTTCTGTAAACACCTGCACAAGTTGAAGTTACACATGTTCTCTGTAAGGAGATGTTTTCATCAATGAATTTCAATTTTTTTATTTAATCGTTTTTGTAATAAAATTTGAACAAAACTATAAACCGAAACTAGAGTTAAGCCACCAACTGAAGTCTCCCTAAGCAGAATTCTAATCTAAAGCTCAATGCTTTGCATACATTCATTTTTCAAATGTAGAGTTTTTCTCGCACATTTTATTCCATTTATGTACTCCTAGCATCAACAGTGCGCAAGTCAGCTCCAATCAAAGCAGTCCACAATAATCATTATTTATATAATATTGAATATAAAGTGAAGGTGAAATTAATGAGTATTAATTTTTTTGCGCTGTATTAGTTTAAAATGTTCAATTAATCGCAATTTAAGCTTCAAGACGCAAGCTTGGGACCCAGAGAACGCTATGTCTCTTGGCGATGCTTTACCAGCTCGCCTCCCTGAGGAAACTTGACTAGCATTAGTAGTATGAATATCATTAGGACTAAAAACAGATAATCTGTTCAATGAAGGACAAAACAGTGAAACAATTCCAGATATATTTCGTGGTAGAAAATAAATGAGCGCCTGATATTTACAGAGGACGAGAATCAATGCAATTCAAACATATCACGATAAAGATTAAATTCGTTACTGAGAGAAATGCCGTTCGCATTAGCAAAGAGATTTGTAAGTTACGTCATTCACCTTATAAGAGAATGAGATTAAAACAAGAAAACCATCAAGTAAACACACAAGAAACGGTCAATTTGCTCGGTACTCTGACGACCCATCTGAAGCATGGAAAGTTGGAACAGTTTCTAACCGAGAGTCCATCAAGACCCAGAATCCTAATGGTAGATGATACTAACGGTCGAACAAGTAGTAGTAGTTGGGGGGGGGGGAATTTCTAGCGCTTCAGATTAGCCTCTCCTATTTCGCGCCGAAGGTGCAATATTCGGTTTTGCAGGGTCAGTCTTCTTCGTTGGTTTTAGGCTCGCAGCCTGATCCATCTGGTATTGGGTGTATGCTTCTCTATTTTTGAGGCGCAGGTTCGATCCGTCTTCTGTCGTTTCATCTCAACCAGTAATGTGCTGACACGAAAGTGGTGTTTTGTCAAGGGTGTGGGTTTTTCTGACCTATGTCATGGTGCCGTGCTAGATCTCCGGCAGCAGGTTTCACTCGATTAGATATTGTCAGTTCTAAATGTGCTTCGGGGAACTTCCCTCAACATCTTAGACAACATTTCGTCTGGACTGAGAGCAGCAATGTTGGGGTAGTAGTTTTGTAGGGTATCGTGGCTCGGAATGGCCGTGGCTCGGCCATTCCGCCATGATATGCAAGACCGTCAGGGATAGCAAACGGTCGAATAAAGGAAACATGTCAACAGTGAAGGCAAATCGTGGCAACATTGGCGGCAGTTTTCCAGACTTTGCCCCCAAACGCACGAAATTTTCAAAGGCGCGCCCCTCAGCGTGACAGCTGATGTAGAGTAGCTTGTTGATGGTCGGATTCTCACGCAGGCACGAGATCACGCCTGCACCTGTGATATAACATCAAAATTAATGAAGTTTCATTAAATCTGCGTAATTTTAAAAAAATTTTCCACGTCCAGTCAAACAAAATTATCATAATCCTCATCGAGTCAAGGATTTGAAAATAAATACCTAATATTTCATCAAAATTAAGGAAGTTTCATTAACTCTGCGTAATTTTGAAAAATTTTCCACGTCCAGCCCAACAAAATCATCATAATCCTCATCGAGTCAAGGATTCGAAAATAAATACCGGTACCTAATATTTCATCAAAATCATTTCACTCTAAAATTTATAGGGACCTATATATCAGTCACCTTGACAGCTTTATAAATGGGAATGGGTTCAACGCGATAACGGCAAGAGGTCAATCATGCTATAGAATAATATTGAACTAATGATCCCATACCAAGAATTTTTTACATTTAAATAATCATTTTTGCACTGATGCAGCCCATAATCATGTTTGCAACAGCATTGCTTTATCCTTTTTTGACATTGCACAGCAAGATGGTTCTACAAAAAACTATTCACTAAATTATTATGCAGTGTAGGTGGAAAATTACACTCTAAACAATGGGTTAATTCCCATTTACAAGCATAACATATCCGATAAAATTTTTCCTTCGTCGGAGGGTTAGTTTAGCAAAATGTTGCAGGGCAGCCGAGTGATTGGATTGGAGCAGTGAATTGTGGGTTTGATCACAGCCTCCTGTGCAGTTCTGATCAAAATCGGCGAGGCGACCAAGTGTATGAGAACAGCAAGACTGGATCAGTGAGTTTTGGGTTTAAAGTATAAAAAGATGAGATAATTCTTCAATGTAAATTATCAGCGACCGGACATATTTTGCGTAATGATGACAGACACAACTATCACAGTATTACAATTACTACACTAAATAATTACAGTTCAACTGAACAAGCAAGTAAGAGCCTCACTTAAGCCGCCTCTGCCGGGATTCACAACCGCCACGACGTCGGAGCAGTCGCGCAGCTCTGGGGTCAGCAGCGGCAGCACCTGCAACATTATTGTTATCGTTGCCTTCATTGTTTCAGAGAAATTCCAGCAATCATTGATTACCGTGGAGTTTATGCAATACTCCTCTAATCGTTCAAAACAAGTTCATCTATTATCGTTTACTTATTGTTTTTTGAAACTTCATTACTCCTTTTAAATTTATTATAATGCCACCTAATAAATCATTATAATTCTAGCAATGTCCCATTTAGACAGGTCCGATTTCAGCAACCGCATTTATCGCAGAAGTTTATTTGAAATTTTCATGTTCCTTTAAAAATTATTACCATGCAACATTATAAATCATTATAGTAACATATTATGTGTCTTGCAACAGCACCTTTTCAACAGGTCCAGGCACGAAGGAGGCGTTGGTGATGTTGTTGCGGTGGGCGTTATTTTTAGACACGGTATTATTATTGAACAAACAATATTAATATAAATTTATTATTAATGAGGAAAATTTATTAACTCGTAAGTTTGACTCTTTGGTTAGCTGGAACAACCGGAGTAGAATCTTTTAATATTATAGCCTTTTGCATTTATATTGCCTTATACTTGTCTGGTAAGTGCATAGTAAAGTATCAAGCATAAAATGTTGTTACCGTATAAGAGAAAAATTCATTTTTTTATTCCTTCTGACACGTTGTGAACTTGGCTCATGCAAAAAAAAAAAAAATCAAAAAAGTAAAAAGCGTAACACTTTGGGTGCTAAAGTAACCAGTAAATTAACTTTTACCTGCAAGTAAAATTTCATATACAAAAATAAATAAATAAAAAATGAAGTACACTTTTTTAACTTAATCTGAGCAAGCTTACCAGTGCCACAACAGACGTCAAGCAGCGTAGAGTATGGCGATAAATCAGCAGTTTCCCGAATAGCCTTATAAAGAAGCTCTCCAGCGCCATGATTTATCTGCAAGAAAACTCCAGCTGCATTAAATCAAACTCCTATTTAAACATGCTTCACTAGCAACCAAGTCTCATAGTAGGTTTCATTACTAATATCAACATGGATTCAATTGATATAACACAAAAATAATTTGTCTTCACCTACATATTTCTTGAGACAAACATGGAATGCAGTATTTGAAATTTCAAGCTCAATTTGGGGCGAAACAGAAAAATACAAAAATTATTTCGAATTATTAGTGTTGTGTTCCTTGAGCTCTAAATCAAAAGAATGGATACAAATGAAGTCTGTGGGGATATTTGAATAATTTTAATTAATGCTAAGGAGTTAGCGGTGTTTAAGGGAAAGCTTCACATTGCGTCCGGAAGAAAACCTCCTACTAAACTAAATATAATTTAAGAGACAAAAAATGAAGTCGGAAAGGCTGATACGATTTGTCAACATGATCCAACAAAAACATTAATGAAAGGAAAGCATAATTGTTTTAAAATGTTAGTAAAAACAAAATATGAAACAAAAGTAAATGCTTGGGATTTGCTTATGGCCGGTAACAATATTTGGTAAGATGTGTAGAAAGCCAAAACCTTCACTCAGAAAAATGAATGGCTCATATTGTCCAAACAGTGACACTTTCAGCACGTAGCACTGATACAACAACATCTGCACTTGTTGCTGCAACATCTGCATTTTTTGCCAGGCAAAACCGGACAAGGATGACCACACAGGGGCAAGAACTGCATCACTATTTGGAAAGACTCTTGATTTTTCTATGTATCTATGTATAAGGAAAATAAATGCAGCAGATTTCTACCTGGAAAAATGTGTCGGGTGAGAGCTGGAAATTGAAGCCACAACACGTCTCGGACAAGAATGGCTGCCCCAGCAACAGTTCGTACGGAGCTTGTTCTCTAGAGCATCGCGTATGGCGACTAGAGAAGAAAAGAAATGTCAATAAGGCTACAAACAAGTAAAGTATAAATAGTATATTAGTATTGGAGCCGAAAAATTCAACTTTCAGTAATTCTTGAAACATTCGTGACACAGGACATCTATAACTTGGCTTTTTTGCTGGCTTTTGACAGATATTTTTTTTCAAAACAAGTCATAATTGAACGAAGATATACGAGACTGCAGCAACAATGCCTAAACATTAATTTTTAAAAAGTATAATCAAGAGCAACTGATAGAAACTTATTAATGAGGAAAAAGTAGTACACTAATAAAAGTAACCCCAAGTTCAATATAGTCTCCATAAATTGGGCATTAATTTTGGATAATTTGGTGCTAAAATGACAATAGAACCAAAATTTTTTTCCTCATTTTAATAATGGAAGTTTTCCAAATACGAGTTAATACCGGTACGTAATGATTTTATCGGATTTTTGTTTTATAGTTCAAATTGCTTCACATTTAAAATTAATGAGAAATAAAAGTTTGAGAAAATATATGGTATCACAACATTAGGTATTATTTTGAAGAGAATTAAAACAACTTCTATTCGCCATACTTAATTGATTGTAATTCAAATCATTTCTGTACCATATCGCCTGTTATTTTGAGGAGCATTAATACAACTTATGCTCACCATACTTAATCAATTGTAAGTCAAATCATTTCTGTACAATATCGCCTGTTATTTTGAGGAGCATTAATACAACTTCTACTCTCCTGAAAATAAAAACTATGGTAAATGATAGAATATTCAAAGATCTGAAAATAAAAACTATGGTAAATGATTGAATCTTCAAAGGCCTGAAAATAAAAACTATGGTAAATGATTGAAATCTTCAAAGGCCTGATAATAAAAACTATGGGAAATAATAGAATCTTCAAAGGTGTGAAAATAAAAACTATGGCAATTGATAGAATGTGCAAAGGCTTGAAAATAAAAACTTTGTACCTAAATGATTCTCGTGTAGTATCAGGATGTTAGTTGTTTGGAGGACAAGAGTTTTCAAACATCTGGTTATTGAATTATATAGCTAAGTACCGTACTAGCTTCAATGAAACTGTATTGCTGAGGCTATCACACATGAGGATAATTGAATTAAAACAATTCTCAAAGATTTATGGAGATAATTTGGTGGCTAACTTAAACAAAACTGAACTGAATAACTTAAATTTGCTTGGACAAACATGTTACTATGCAGCAGAAAAATAAGAAAATAAAAATTCAATAATTTGCATGACATCATTTCACAGGTTTTTGAGTGTTCTGTTAGAAGTAAACCCTAAATTATATTACAATTAGGAAGGCTAACGAACACTTCATTGGTGTAATTTAAAATTGTGCAATTCATTTTTTGCTAAGAATATGAGTATTTATATAACTTTGAAATTGAATATACAATACCTACTTGGCACACATTTTTGTGTTTATCCTTGATATTGAGGAGATATGTTGGAGGCACACAAACAGTGAGTGAATCTGCTGGATGACCAGTGAGGAAGCCAACGGTCTTGGGGTCTCCATCCACTCCTTTCTTCACAACAAACTCATCTTTGTTGCGGTACTGATGGATTTCTGGCTGTGAATATCACAATGGTTTAATTCAACAGCTAATGCAGTGAAGATAATGAGTATGATACTCTTAAAACTTTTGTGGCAGTACATCAAATGTTATGGAAATAAAAGAAGCTTTCAATAGAGATTGGCAAGATAGCTACTTGGGCAAATTTTTCAACCAAGTAGGAGCAAAAATTGTTTATTGCAAAATAAAATAGGAACTGAATGAATTCTATAAACCATTAGTCTAGTCAAAATGCACAGATATCAAAAGAAAATAGAAACATGGGTACATACATCATGTTATTAAATTTTTAAAATGAAATATTCTATAGTTGAGGCACAAAATTTGATGAAAAGCAATTCAACTTAATTTAACAAACAAAATGATTACTAACTAAAAGTCTAGAATCACTAAAAAAATAACTTGAACAGCATCTACACACATAAAAAAGTAAATTCAAAGCAAATCTTACAGAGGGTATGATGTCCTGCAAAGGACAAGCAGAAAGTTCTTGTGCTGCGGGAAGAGACTCGACACCAGCAGAAGACAGCCGCTGTTTCAACATTTTGAGTATAGACACTGCTCTCTCCTGCTTATGTTGCAGTTGCAGAGAGTAACGTAATTGATAGAGTGGAGTGACACAATTGGCTAGTCTTTCATGCTGAGTGTCTTTTGTCACAGGAACTGATAAAGAGTCCATGATATTCTCATCTGTGGACTGACAAATGCTTCTCCTTGCAGGTGGTGTCATTGAGGCCAGGGTATTTGTAGACATTTCAGATGGAAGCACACCTTGCCATGCAGGTGCAGAAGTTGACTGAAATTTGTTAGGATGTGTGGTAGTGGATTGAGGTGTACTAGTTGGAGAAGAAAATTTTTCTGGTCTGTTGGATTGCGGTGTAAAACCTTGAGATTGATTTGAAATTGATGTGTTATGTTGTGATGTCATTTCTTGTCCCGTAGATGGTTCTCTGTGTAAATTATAGGGCACATTTAATACCAGATATGCATAGGTCTAAAGGCAGATATTAAACAAAAAATAAAAAATAACAAACAATTGCATAAGCAATTTAACATTTTTTCATGTAACAAAAAAATTATCAAATGAAAGGCAGGCAGAAAGTATGACACAAATAAAATATCTAATAAATAAATACAATGTCTGAGAGTATCAATACCAGTATGTATTACTGTGTAACCAAAATACAGATGAAACCTTAGCATTTATAAAATTATAAACCAAGTAATGTATTTTAATTGATGTTCTCAACAAAGAGCACTTATTAATAAGCCCATACTGTAATCTCTGGCTTCTTCTTGCATCATCTACAGCCAATTAGCTAAATACTACACAGGTAAATACACAGGTTTTTCCAATGATGGACACGAGGCTATTTTATTGCGAAATACCAAAGGAAAATATGGTAAAACATTTAATGAGGCCTGAGGGCTTGTAATTGATACAAAAATTGAACATGTCTTATTTACACATTTTTCATGTTTAGAGAGAACAGGTCTTGAGCAAATATCCAGAGAAATTTACACAAGCTAAATCACAGCTTATAAATTTACTTTTAATAAATGGAATGCAACTGGAATTATCATACACTGCAATAACTATTCATGTAATTCATCTAGGATCAATTTTAGAGACAATCTTCCTAAACTCCTGAGTTAAAAATATTTAAAATAAAATTTTTCCTGACCCTGAAAGTTTACAGAAGGCATATAACTTCTAACTTCTGATCTGACATCTTGCATAGTGGCAAACAAGAGATTTTTTAGAATCAGTTCATTCTCCATTTCCTCAAGATTTAAACCAATATCTTTTACATGATAATGCTGGTATCCACAATACGTACTTTGCTGGTCTACTTATAGGACTCAAAATTCAACTTGAGGAAGAGTCTAAAAAACTCTCTGCTTTACTACTATGCAGTGGTAAGTGGCATGTTATATTTCATGTTAGCAAGTTGTGTTCAACATACCCTTACCTTCTCCTATATCTTGTCCTCAGAGCTTTGCAGTTGGCACTCATGTTCCCACCAACATAGAGTAACCTAAAAGGCCTATTTTTCATCATAATCAAAAGAGATGAGAATATCTGGAAAAAAGCAACACATCATCAAGATCACGACATGGAACAAGAGAATATAGTTAAAATGTGAGAGAAACTATAGAATTTTAAATATTGACACCCAGCCCTACCCCTACCAGCCTACGGTACCATTGCAGTCATGCAGACTTCAGTCTCCAAAGCACCAAAGACCTTTCCACAGAACATGGAAAGAGAATGATAAATAATAATAAGAGAATGATAAATAATAATAAGAGAATGATAAATAATAATAAGAGAATGATAAATGACAAATACCGGTATCCAGTAACTAAACAGTAAACATCTAAACCTAAGCCCAGGGTGCAGAATTTGCAAGCTGCATTGCCAAGATATGGATATTTTAGCCAAAAACATTGCCAGCCATTTTCAAGCTGTGTTGCCAGGTAATTTTTAATAAGAAAATGCTGCTAACAACATTGATAGTATAGGTATCCCATACTCTCAACGCACTGCAACACTTACACTCATTGCAACTCATTTCCAGACAAGCTTCACTGCATCTTGATCCACCCAATGTACCAGAAACCTTACTGTGAGCGCTTGCAGTCTTTCAGATTTCCAACTATTTTCTAAGTAGTTGGCCAAAGACTGGTGCCAGACTGTAAAGCATGGCACAGCATAGGTTGATGACGCTAATTTCATGCATCAAAGACGCCAAGGTGGATGCCACTGGACGCCTGTCACCAATTATGCTTCTCCATAAATCGCAATTTATAAGAGTGCATGTTTGAGCACCCAAGCATATGCGCTCAGAGCCACCTAAACTACGCAGTTCTGATGGCTGTGAAAGTAGGTAGGTATATTTGAGCACCCAAGCACATGGTGGTAGGGAATTATTGTGAGTACTTATTGGTCCACCGCCGTGCGGCGGTCTTAACCCTTTGCAAGGCCCCATGCCCTTGGCCCTTGGGCCCCTCTTGCA